AAAGGTCGAGGGCTGCTGGGCACCGGATGCCCCTCTCCAGAACGTTTTTGGTTTTTTGGGGTTTTTTGTTTTATTTTGTTTTGCGACGGCAGGCTACCAAGAACAAGAGATGGAGGCCCGCGCCTATGGGTCAAAAGGGAGCCAGTCTTGCGCCCTAGTCGCCCTCTTAGCTGGCACGCCAAGACTGACTCCTTTTGTGTGGGTGCGGCGCCTGCAGATGTGGGAAGGAAAAGCTGCTGAGACTAGCTGCAGGGAGTCCTAAAGCTCCCACTGCCAGAAGCAACGTCATGAGTTTTGAAGGAGCAAGAACAAGAGACTGGACAGGTTATATCCCACAGGAAGGGGAAACTGAGTCATGGAGTAACACAACCTCTAGTCACTGAGGTCATTCCAGGCCTCCCTTAATGGCCCTAGGGTGCAATAGGCCTGTGAGCCTTTGACTGTCAAGCCAGGCTGTGTTCTAACAATAACGGAAGGGGAAGAGCTGGTGCAGTGGACCCGGGGAAGGTTCCCCGACAGATGACAGAACTTCTACTGAGGCATGGCTTTGACCTTTTCACATTGAGATCAAAGAATGTTCAGTCTAGGTCATGGGGCAGCCTTTCGGGGAGGGGTTATCTATTTAATTGGCTCACTGGCTTGCTCAGCACCATTAGCCAGATAGACAGAATTATCCTGGGGCTCTGTTCACCTATTTTGTTTTGTTTTGTTTTCTGCACCTGGCCACTGTAGGGGTCTTCTGTCTTTACAGTCTCAAAGGAGGTGTAAAATTCACCCTTTCAATTCCTGCCTTAAAATCTACAGTCCCTGAAGGAAAAGGGAGGGGACTGTGAGGCTCTCAGCCAGTTCATTCAAGTTCGATTTAAGCTGTGCATCTCTCTTGAAAAGAAAACAGAAGCAGACTAGCTGAGATCCTAAGTACTGTCAGCCAGGAATGGCTAAAAACTTCAGGCTCAGAAAGGGTATCAGGTGGATCCTATAATCCCAGCACTCAGGGTGCTGATCCAGGAGGATATAAATAAATAAATAAATAAATAAATAAGCAAAAAAAAATGCTTTTCTCTCAGGGAAAGCCAACAGTAAGGTTTAGCTAGAAATCAGCAGGAGAAGGAGAGGCCTATTAAATCCCGTGAAAAATAACTACTGTCAGGCAAGGATAATGAGATTCAAATTAACTTAAACAAAATAGCCTCTACTTACAGTGTTTGTTTTTGTTGCACTTTCCTGCTCTTGCTCTTAATGGGTTTAAATACATCTTGTTATTTACCAATTTGCTATGGAATATTTTGTTTTGTCCCATCCATCCATCCATCCATCCATCCATCTTATTAGTGTCAGTTTCCTTCCCACAGCCATGCATACAAGGATCTTAACCCATGAGAATTGGCATTTCTCATCATAAATGTCCAGAAGCATAAGGTTAAAATTGATTTATCTGTTCAGACTGGAGCTTAAAAGAATATCTGGCACGTAGAAGGCTCCAAAGAAAAAAAAACAACTTTAATTAATGAAGGAAAATAATTGTAGTTTGCATATCTTAGCAAACTTACTGCTCAGTTCAATACAGGAAAATAAAACGTGGTGGGAAAGAAGCATCTACACTGACAGATGGGTTAATCCGGACTGTGTTAACTCTCTTTAAAGATGCTCACTGGAAAATTCCTAGGGAATCATTATCTGGAAATAGGATATTTGAAGCCAGTCTCCAGCCTGACTTCTGGATGTTTAAAAATTAAATGCATGGAAACAAGGATGAATCTGTCTATTCTGCATTCACAGTCTCTTCCAGAGCCCACCTCCCTGCAATTCCTCACCCAGCATCAGAGCAGGGCCAGCAGTGGTGTCTACTGTCCTCATGATGGTAACACCCCAGGCCTCTGGTGTCTGCTAGGGGAGTAAAAGCTGAGGGGTGACTTTGAGTTGCCCTGTCAGAGACTGATGTCAGCCTCTGGACTCCCTTCCTGTCACCATGCTCAGCAGATACACAGAGCTTCAAAGTAAACCTCTCTTTTCAGAGAAGAGAAAAAAATATATATATAAATATATATATACACATATATATACATATATATCCCAGCAGTAAAGTGCTTGCCTAGCTTGCCCCAAGCTCAGTTGTGTTAGCTAGGCCTAGTGTCATAGACTTGTAACTGCAGCTCCTCAGGAAGCTGAGGCAGGAGGAACACAAGTTCAATGCCAACCTGGCCAACTTACCAAGACTGTATCTTAAAAAAGGTAAGAAAGCATTTGTGCTTTCTTTTCTTTCACTTCTAATGCTTGTGTCTCTGTTTTTTCTTTCCATATTCAGCTGCAGTCCAGCAAGATATCAGACCCATAGCAGGCATTAGTGACTGATACATAATAGGCTTTGTCACTTTAACTGTTAAGGTAAAACCAAAAAGACTCTTCCATATTACCACCATGACAAACAAACAAAAAACCCACCCCGAACTCAGTCTTTCTTTTGACACTATCACTGAGCAGGGTCTTGCTTCTGTCTGCACAGCCCCTCTTCCCCAAGTCCCTGGAATCACAATGGAATTCTGCCTGCAAAGCTTATTCCTGTGGAAGATGAGAGGGAAAAGCTGCCTATGTTCTTATGTTATGTTCCTCCTAACAAAACTGCTGTGTTTGACTAAGCCTGGTAACAGGGAGTGTCATTAATCTTAAAATGAACCTCAGAATCATACAAGGTGGGGGCTGAAGAGATGGCTCAACCGTTAAGAGCACCAGCTGCTCTTCCTGAGGACCCAGGTTCAATTCCCATCAACCTCATGGCAGCTCACAACCATCTGTAACTCAGTTCCAGGGGATCTGATACCTTCACACCAACGCACATCAAATAAAGTTAAATAAATCATAACAACAAAAACCAAGAATTACACAAGGTATCCCTAGGAAACTAACCCCATTACTAATTTCTGAAGTTATATTTTGGAGAGGAGCGGGGAAAGAAGGGCGCTAACCCAGGGCCTTATGCTTTCCAGGCAAGCACTCCATTCTGGAGCCATACCCTAGTCCTCTGAAGCTACTCTTCTCTCCACTCCATCATTCTCTCTTGTGCTTGTATAATAGTGTTGGTCTTATCGTGCCACCTGTACTATACGGTGCACCCCAGCACCGAGCCTGAGGGAGGGTAATTCTGGTTGCACTCACAAGAGCTAAGAACCTGTTACAAAGTCTTGATTACCCACCCACCCTCAGAAAGAATGCAGCAGGAGTTCCAGGCTTTGAAAAAATGGCTCTGCAGATGGATGGAGTAGAGATAACACCCACCGGGGAGTTATAAGACCTTTATACCAGAAACTGGGGTGGGGTGGTGAGCTGAGGGCTGTCATTCTGGTGCTCTGGGCTGACTGGCTAGTCTCAGTTCCTCACTATGTGCCCAGGATGAAGTCTGTCCAGGCCCAACCCAAGGCTCTCGGTTTCATCTTCCCCTCTGTATGGGAAGCTGGAGTGACCATTTCTGCTTCTGCGGCACCCAAGGGGCACTGTGGAAGCACGATGTTCAGAATGCCACAGAGAAGAGACACTTGGAAACAAAATGTTGACGGGAAGATGAGAACCCAGATGTAGCCAAGAAGAAAAAGCCACCAATCCCTGTGCCGCTGCAGCCAGTTGCCCAGGGCTGCAAACTCCAATGAGATCTGCAGAGGTTGGAATGACATTGTGGTCAACAGAAGGAGCAGTGCCTAAATCAAAGGGCTTTAGCTAAAGTGCTCTGCTGGGAGGGGTGCAAGCAATCATGATTGCTTTCTTGACTATAGAATGCCAAAGGGCACAGATCGCCAAAGAACGGCTAAGCAGCAATACTTGATGCCAGCCTGCTGCCACCTTCAGTGAGTGTGTCTTTTGAGTAGTGACCAGTGAGGGCCACAAGTGCAGTCAAACACTGGTTTTACCAGAACTGTGCCCCTTTGGGGGCTTTGAAAGTGTCCCTAAGATCCCCCGGCTACATGAGGCCAAGAGGGGGATTAGGGTAGAGATGAACATGAACTCCACAGAAACGAACAGAATCAAACTTTCTCTTCCAGTCTCCAGTTAGGACAGATACCACCCAAAAGACCTCACATCACACACCTTGCACCCCAATGTGTGTGAATACAGATTGTCCTTGGGGTCTCTGTCCCTGTTAGAGACAGAAGGCACCTGACTCTGGCCTTCCTGTCTCAGGTCTTCCCTCTGGTGGCCAAAGTGGAGTATGCACATAGTTCACTCCTTTGTCTTGGAGTAGTGGGCTTCACAGTGGGAGAGAGCCTTTAGGTTTATTTGCCCTAGTGTCCTGAGCTTGTCTGCCCATCAGAATTATCTGACCCTGGCTCCACCCTCAAGTCCAGAGTCTCCCACAGCCAGGTTCAGGAAGATTATTGTCCTCCAGGCACTGGGCCACAGACTTGGGCCTTCTATTTCTAAAGGAGGAAACCAAAACCAAAAGCAAAACAACAAACCATGAGCTAAAATGAAGGTTTTACCCCTACTCAGAACTTCCTCTACTTCCCAAAATTCAATGCAACCTGCTCTTTCATTCTACAAAAAAAGGGATAAATATTCCCACTAGCT